CCCCCCCCCCCCCCCCCCAACCTCGCTTTGCTTTTGTCTGTCATCCTCACATCTGGCTCAGAGACTCCTGTGAGGAGAAACAGTGAAAATTAGATGAACTGTTTAAGCAGCTGACTGGATGGATGAGCACATTTTTTACAAGCTAAGCTTTATCTGTTACTGTCAATCTTTAGTTAGCGTTTGATTTTAGCTAGCTACATAGATAGCCATAAAATAAATCTACACACTAATATCTTAAAGTTAGCGTTACATGGATCCTAGTTTAACTCACCTCGATGTACGTGTTAAGCTGCAGTAACGCTAACAAACGTAAACTTACCAGCTGAAATCCCAGACACAGCTCCGTCCTCGGAAAGAAGCAGAGTCCGGCCGTGGAGATGTTGAATCGGGCCGTTCAACACTCACAGGCTGACTTTAACGCTGAGAGAGGAGGAGGGGAGGCTGCGCTCCTTCTGTCTCACAGAAAATCACGGAGCAACTTTCCGCTTGTAAATTGAAGCCGTTCGACAACACACGCACTGCACGCGTGAACCCCATCTGTGGGCATCACCAGCACCATAGACATACAGCTATTCAGCAGCTCTATACAGCTCTGGGTGTAAACATGTAGTCTGTTTGCTATATGTCTGTGTTTTACCTGCCTGCGTGCTGAAACCACGTGTCATGTTACAGCCAATACCGAAACTTGACACCAAAAAAAAAGAGTAATGTTTCAATCCATACACCGACCAAACCAGTTCGGTCGGTGCCATAAAAGAACCTGGGTTCGGTACTCAGCCCTAGGTGAGGAATCAGCCCAGAACTACACGAGAGGAGCTGGTCAATGACCTGAAGAGAGCTGGCACCACTGTTTCCAAGGTTACTGTGGGTAATACACTAAGACGTCATAGTTTAAAATCATGCACGGCACGGAAGGTTCCCCTTTTTAAATCAGCGCACGTCCAGGCCCGTCTGAAGTTTGCCCATGACCATTTTGATAATCCAGAGGAGTCACGGGAGAAAGTTCTGTGGTCAGATGAGACCAAAATAGAACTTTTTGGTCTTAATTAGGGATGGAGCCGATCCGATCCAGTATCGTATTGGGCTCCGATACCAGCATAATTTACGTAACAGATTTTTCCGATCCAACCTGCATTCCTATGGAATGGATTTCCTGAATGGCGGCGTGTCTCATGAACCCAGAGTAATAAGACCCGCCTCACATTCAAGAAATCCAGTTCATAGTTTGCAGCCAGCTACAACGTGAGGACTGAGTTAGCAGCACTGTGGCTAACAGCTAACAAACTTTTCATTTAAACATGTCCGCTGTGTGGAAGTATTTTACACTAAACACCACAAGACAAGACAGCATCGTGCAATGTCTGCAGAGCCATAGCGCCACATTAAACCGCGGTAAAGTTAGTTTTACGTTGGACATTCGAGCTCCGTGGCTTCAGCGGGGCGCTGCTCTTTGCTCAACCCGAAATTGGCAACTCGACCCCGGCCGGCTGCGCCCAATCTGCCCGTCTCTGAGGAGGGACAGACTGAGCGCGGCTGACCGAAATCAGTTTAGAATTCTGGGTAATATTTCCCGGTATATAATTTTTAAATAATTTCTGTTACGTATGTGTTTGCACTTGTCACCATGAGTCTAATACTGAAGCTTTGTGTATACATAGGATCACCATTCAGGCTTAGTGCATGTTGGACCAAGCTATAGTCTGTGAGCACCATCTAGTGGCTGATTTTTGTACTACAACAAGAACACACTGAGCTGGGTCTTCACTGTACAGTGGAGACCTGTGGCTTTACAGCAGGTGTGTTTTATTTATGTACAAAGTTATGATTTTTGGTATATTTCGTATGTGCTGCTAATTCACAGGTGCGCTTTGTAGTCCGACAATTACGGTAAATTTCTGACAAACTGAATTTGGGGTTTTCATTCAGTTGTCAGTTATAATCATCAACATTTTAAAGATATAAACAGTGGACTTGGATTGTGCACGTGTCTTCCAGGAGCTGTGGCTGCCTGTCAGTGCCGACACGCATGATGGATGATGTTGAAGTGTTTTATTTTCTTACTAAAGAGCTGGTGTTTGTCTGTTTCAGCCCAGTCCTGAAACCCCACAGTCAGTCCAGGCCAAGGCGGTCCAGTGCAGCAGCGCGTGCCGATGCCTCCTCCTCCGCCGTGGATGACTTTGAGGAGCTCATCAACCAGTTCACCGATGATCA